AAAAAAAAAAAAAAAAAAAAAAAAAAAAAAAAAAAAAAAAAAAAAAAAAAAAAAAAAAAAAACTCACATTTAAAACATTTTTTTTCTTTGTTGTGATTTGCATGGAGAAATCAAACACCAACCACCAGACATTTCTGTTAACAAACAGAGAGATTTGATACTTCAAATGGACACCTCTGACTCAACAAACAAACACATGATATCTCAGTTATAGAGAATTGACGACTAGTTGCATAACAAATTATAAAGAACTTCGATACAAAACTTAATTAATTCTAAAATTCCGCTATTTTTTTTTTTTGATTCTATAATATTTGGGAGTATTACATTAGTGGGCTATTGAGAAGGCCATGCCATGAAGAAGCATTACTAAACCCAAAATCCATACCCATCATCATATTTGAATCCATAATTCCATTATTATTTGCAATACCCCAAAGGATTTTACTTTCGTCACCCGCGTTGTATACCTCTTGCTTCATGGTTGTCACCGTCACCGCGGTGGTTGTAGCATGATGATCTTGATCGTACGGCTGTAATCTCATCTGATCTATCCCACTTTCGATTCCACCCATGTTGTTGTTGTTGTTATTGTCATAATACATCCCTTGAGAATTATACGGAAACCCGTTCAAAACGTCACCGTTTGGCATTCCCAAAGTAGGGAAATCAAAGTCGTTGAACGTTGGAGTGACTGACCCACATGAGTTTTTGTGAAGCCTAGCGAATGCCAGCCCTTGGTGGTCGTAGGACAGATGCGGTAAGGCGGCGGCGGAGGCAAAGGGATGATCTTGGGGTTTTTTCGATGATGATGACGACGACGATGATGATGAGTTAGCGGAGGAGAAGGATCTTTTGTTTTTACGACAGCCGCCGCCGACGGGGATGTTGCGGAGGGTGCCGCCTTGAGTCCAGTAACGGCGGCAGGATTTGCAAAAGTAGCGAGGTTGGGAGAGGCTGTAGTTGTTGTAGTAGCAGAATTTGGTGTTGGGTGAATCACATCTTGGGCATTTCAAGGCTTGCTTTGGTTGTGGCCTTGGCTTTCTAGTTTGGTCTAGTGAGGGTTTTGAATGTTGTTGTTCAATTTCCTGTAGAATAATTAGACATAAATTAATGAGAATAATACAAAACTGAGGACAACCCATGTCGGAGAATGGTTAATTACCTGGTGGTGGACGGCGGCGGAGAGATCCATAGCTGACCTGAGCTGAGCTGAACTGATGAAGGTGGAGGAGAAAGAAAGAGTAAAGGGATGAGTAGAAGAAAGAAGAAGGGGGAGAAGATATAAAGGAAGGGAGAGGAGAGAGAAGACTGGTGATAGGGATTGTGTTGGGTTGGCTTTGTTGTATGTATGTCTGTGATGGTCAGTTCTTTGGTCTCAGCAACGGTTTCATATGAAACCTGCTTGTGGGTCCCACGTTGCACACACTCACGCCATGTCAGCATTCAACATTCTGGTTTCGTCGACCATTTTGTTTTTTTTATATTTTATTTTATGGGAGAAACACAGGGCGGTGGGGTCCCACACTATTGTATTGATGTTCAAAATCAAATAGTTTGTTTTTTTTGTTGGTTGGGATTGATGACGTGGCTCTTCTGGATAAGTTGAATGGTTAAAAGACAAAGCAGCCAAACGCCCTCTCTCTCTCTCTCCCCTTGCCAAAATGGAGATTCTCTCTCTTTCTATCTCTAATTTTATCTAAATTTGACACTTATGTGGTTAAAAAATGATTTTTTATGAAGATGTATCACCAATACTGATTCGAATGAGAGTATGAGATCCCATCCATTATTTGGAGAGGAAAACGAGACATTTCTTATAAGAGTGTGAAAATTTCTTCTTAATACACGTGCACAACGATACGTAATGGACTATTTATACAACTAGGTAACGTGGTCATAAATTCTGGGTATGAGACGTTACCTATTTTTTTACCTTTAACCCCACAAGACGAATGAATTGAACGAAGAACAAAACGCTTTAGTTATGGGGAAGGGAAGAGAAGGGGAGGGGCTCCCCAAATTCCAACAAGCTTGATTGAGTTGTCATACTCACAATTTCCTTTTACCAATATTATTCTACACATGGAGTCTTATGGTGGGGCTTTGTACCATTTCTACACTAAAAAAATGAACCAAAGGTACCCAAAAAAGTACCAACTCCTAGCATGCCTGCATAAACCCACAAATCTTTACACCATATAACTTCAAAATTCTATATACCCGACTTAATTTACACTGTTTTCTTGGCTAATTACAACACGAGGTGAAGAGCTACTCTCTAGAATATCCTTTCCCTAACCGATAAGATCATAAAGCTAGTTGTCTAACAGAATATATTCTTCTTCATCCCTTTACGTTTTTTAATTATATATGCATGTCTTATTATATTTCCGAATTTTCTCGAAACATATATTTCCACAAACCCTAATTCACAAAAGGTGAATGTTAAATCTCACATCAGTTAGAGAGTATAATGAAACATTCTTTATAAGGTTGTGGAAACCTCCCCTTAGTAGTCACGTTATAAAACCTTGCTGAGAAGCCTGGAAAAAAAAGCCCAAAAACAACAATATTTACTAGCGGTGAGCTTGGGCTATTAAAGCGAATCTCTTGTAATAAGATTACAAAAAGAAAAAAAAAATTATTAAGAAACTCTCATAATTGAATTAGATCGCTTAAGAATAATTCATATCTGGAATATTTAAAAAATCTTTGAATTTATAAGAGAATAAACTCGAGAATCTCTGGTTGAATAACCTAACCCTAATGTTTGGTAAACATGTTATAAGTGAGTTTAATATGTTGTACGTAATTGTAACGACTCAAACCCACTAATAGCATATATGGTTCATTTTAGGATTTTCCTAAAGATGTTTAAAACACGTTTGTTAGGTCTTGGTTTTCATACTCTTATAAGTAATATTTCGTTCTTCTCTCTAATTAATATCGGACCCAATGTCCTCGTTAGCACTCATTCCTCTATTCAATCGATGTGGGATCTTACAATAATAGCTTAATTCCATTGACCTAAAAACAAAGATAATTTAGTAAGTAACTCAAATCAAATGATCCCTCGACCATTATGAACATAAATAAGACGATATAAACCTAACCCACGAGCTAAACGATAAAAGAATCGAAACGAGGTTGGGTTTGCTTTTCCATGATAGTTTAATCAAAATCATAAACTACGAAACATAATGATTTTGTTTATGGGAGTTGTAAACTTTACAATATACGACCAAGAATGTCGGAATTTGGAAGCGGGAAAATCAGAGGGGATTTTTGAAAAATTTTATTTAGATTTTGTTAATGTTACCAACCAAATTTCTAAGGCCGTCATCACATCACCAAATAACACAAGCAATGATGATGGATCTTAGTTATGATTACCATATGAATCCCAAGCATTTAATTAATATTATTACTTTAATTCTCCATTTTATAATATCTATATGAATCAATAATCATGTTATTATATGATTTGATTAAGGAACATGGAATCTTTGAATAATTAACTAAACTAGGTTTCTTCATTTCAATCATTATTGGTTTTGTCTTGTTTTTATTTTCTAGTTTGAAAATAATATTTTTGAAACTATTTAAGCATAATTAAATCGAGTTATTACATGAAAAAAATGTTTTTATTAATTTATTTTTTAAAAAAATCTAAATTAAAAAAGGTGTAAATTTTAAAAATAGATGAAATAAATAAAAATAGGGTAAATTAGTGAAGAAACGAAGAAGAAAGAAAAAGGGGAAATGGAGGTGGTGTTGGAGTTGGATAGGATGTGGTGGGGGCCGAAGAAGAAAAAGAGAGTTGGAAGTGGGGCCCACCCAATAGCACAGTTGACTGGTCAACGAATTTCTTAGTCAAACAAAACACAAACATAGAGAGAGACATAGGAAAAAAAAAGTGAAAGGAAGAAGAGAGGGTAAAATGATGGGGAAATGTGCAAATACGAGAGACATTATTTTATTTTTTTTTTATTTTTTTATTTTTTTATGGTCTGTCGTAAAAATTTTAAAGTGAAGCGTGTTTGATTTTAAATTATCATCTCTATATTGGCACGTAAAGATAGATTTAAACCGAGTGGTGATGTTGTTGGAGTGCAAATGAGTATCGACACCATTAGATAGCATACTTTTACGATAATGAAAGACAATTAAAATAAATGCTAAATTAATAAAAATATTTATAAATTTGGTATTCAATCAAATCTTTAATTTTTTTTTAAATATATTATTTACCGCTAGGGTTAGATGAAAAATGTTAAAAATATTCAAGTAGCACTAATTGTCGACACCTCATAAACTATCTTCAAAAATAATAATAAAATATTAACGATTTTTATTCAAAAATAATATAATATGAGGGCATGTGTTTGGTTTTATGGCTGATTCCATTTTACATTACTTGCTTCACTGTACTTATTTGTACTTACTTACCTTACTTGTCACCTCCTATTATATGATTCATAATTAACATACTTAATGTGAATAATAAACTCTAATAAAGTTCAAAACTTTATAGTATAATAATAATAATATTAATTTGAAAGCTTAGGATAAGGAAAATATCGTGGGCGGGAAGAACGAGGCATAGGGGAAACCAGTGTCTGGATGAACCGAATGGTCGGTGGAAGGGGAGAGGGATGGGGCCCCACATGTCCACCATGCTTAGGGTTACAATACAGACAAACCACTAGGAGCCTCTGCCACCTCACCCATCTATTACGTGGCATCGCGAATATTTCGTTTTACGAGGTATGCGTAGCTTAACACTCCCATGTACCCCTCCGCACTTGATCCCTCCCTCTTTCTCCTCCCTCCTCAAGCAACGCATCTTTTTTATTAATTATTTATCTATTTTTAATTTACAATTTGCTCTTCTTTTCGCCACGTGTTTTCTCTCCATCCCTGTGAGCCCCACTCTCCCCTTCACGCCAGGCACGAGGGAAGAATACTCCACGTCATCTCATATGGGTCCCACTCCAATGCAGTTTTTTTTCCGTTACGGAACGGGAGAGGTTTCTTGTTCCCTTCTCTTTTACGTAATCCGCTTGTTCCTAAAAACAAAACGGTGTCGTTTTATCTGCTGTCCCATTTGTTTGTTTGGATAAGATTAACGGATAAAGAGGTAGGTGCAAAGGGGTTGTGAAAAAACGTGAATACAATTAGGTTGTAAAATTATCACTTTAATTTTTATTTTTATTTTAAAAATAAAAAATGTCGCTTAAACTTGCTTTTATTTTTTAAATTTAGCATAAAAATTTTAATATATTTTTTAAAAAGATAAAAAATTGAAAAAAAAAAGTTAATTTTGTTTTAAAATTTTAATCTTTTTTTTTCTTTAAAAAAAATTGAACTAACAAAGCCCAAGCCAACCTAACCCGCACAAAGCCCAAGACTTAAAGCCCGGCCCAATAAGCATAGCCCACGACTTAAAGCCCAGCCCAAGAATTTAGTGGGCATCATCAAGAACATTATTTATTTTTAATTGATTTATTTGAAGACGAAGAACGTGGCTGATGCATATGATTTTGGCAAAAAGGTAAAAGTCAACTAACAATAAATTAATATTTAAGCTTTTATGAGTTTTTATTTATTTATAGTGGTTTGGTTATGCATGATCTTGTCGTATTAACACCTTAATTAATGCTAAACAATTGATAATCCTATAATTAGAAGAATTATCAATAAATAACTCAAAACCATAATTCAAAATAAATTGATTTGGAGAAGAAACTATTAAATCAAACTATAAAATTCCTTATTTAAAAGAATTAAAATATTATATCAACTATAGGGTAAAGTCAAATATGCACGGTAGTTTAAATAGTTTGTTCAAACGTGATTGGAAGAATTACAGTAATAACTATTTATTCCAAACAAACCTTTAACCATAGTTGATATCAATAGGAACAATAATCATGCCCTACATGACTAGAATGTCAACATTACACCACCTTTTACCTTACTAGAAGGTTGATTTGGACTCCCGTGGTAGCGTCAGAGAAAAAAAAAACTATGATAATGTGATCATGAGGTTTCTAAGACCAACAATTTGAGTCGACAAGCGGTGATGATGATGACATCCTCATTGGCTGAACATGAGTGAGAGTGCAAAGGGAGATGACTAACAAGACGAGTGGGTTGCAAGAAAAATTCAAAAAAGAACTAGGAGTAATGACATCGATGAGTGAAACAATGTTCGTCTAGCAATGTGCAGACAACGACGACGATGACACTGTGTAGATCGACAAGAGACACACAACGGACGATTGCAATGGTGAAGGAGAGACAGATAGACTGACATACGAATGGGAGAAGACCTCGTAAAGGTACAAAATTGTAAAAAATTTCTAATAAGGAGGGTAGTTTGGTCTTTTCACATAATAGTGAAATCTAAAACACAATAGATAGCTATGACGAGTCATTTCCTCTCCCATCATCAATTGTTTAATAATTCATCGGTGTTTTGGGCTTTCACAAACACAACCAATCCTCACAATCCCAAAAGAAGCAAAAACCCATCAAATTTTTTCTTGTTTTAGGCATTGCTTAATCTGTTCTTCAAATCCCTCTCTTCCTTAGCTTCTACGCATCATCCACCAAACATTCAATCCCTAAACTCCACAACTCTTATCTTATCATGTGAATCAATATCTATCTATCTCCTTATTGTTCTTCCTAAGATGGTCGAAATTTCAAGAACATCAAAGAAAAATCCGTTCTTGACCACAAATCAAAGAAAAAACACCACTTTTTACTTCAAATTCTTTCTTTCCGCTTCTCTTTCCTTCTATTTCTTCACTTTTTTCCTCCTTACCCATAATCCCAATCTGGGTTTGATCCATCATCATCATTATGTCTCTAATTCCAACGCCTTTGCCTCTAAAGCTCTCGTCCAATCCGAACCCAACGATTTCAAACTCTTTGTCTACGATTTGCCGCCGGAGTTCAACGCCGATTGGCTTTCCGACGGCCGGTGCGGCGGCCATTTGTTTGCCTCCGAGGTGGCAATTCATAGAGCCCTGTTGACAAGCAGGGTTCGGTGTATGGACCCTTATGAGGCGGATTTCTTCTTCGTTCCTGTTTATGTTTCGTGTAATTTTAGCTCCATTAATGGGTTGCCGGCTATTGCTCATGCTCGCCCTCTTTTGGCCTCCGCCGTGGCGGCTATCTCTCGTGAATTTCCGTTTTGGAATCGGAGCGGCGGCGCCGACCATATCTTTGTCGCTTCCCATGACTATGGCGCTTGTTTCCATGCCATGGTAAGACGGAATTTTGATGAATTTTTTAAAAATTTAATTTAATTGAATTTTGTTTGGATATTGAAGGAGCATGAGGCTATGGCAGATGGGATACCGCAATTCTTGAAGCATTCGATCATTTTGCAGACTTTTGGAGTTAAATATAAGCATCCATGTCAGGATGTTGAGAATATTCTTATTCCACCTTATATTCCACCGGAATCTGTGGAAGAATCCGTCGTCCACGGCCGTCGGAGAGACATATTCGCGTTTTTCAGGGGAAAAATGGAGGTAAACCCCAAGAACTTCGGTGGCCGATTCTACGGCAAGTAAGGCAATTTTAAAAAGATCAAGTCTTTATTATTATTATTATTATTATTATTATTGTGTTTTTTTCTTTGCTTACAACCATATAATTTCACCGGTTCGGACTTCCGTGGCGGCGTTGACTTCTCTGCAGGCGGGTTCGGACTTTGATTTGGAAGAAATTTCACCGGCACCGGCGGTTTTACATCAAAAGGCAGAGGTTTGCTGGTTACCGGTCGGAAATAAGCCGGTCGGTTTTCTGTTTATGTCCTCTAGGGTGGGCCCCGTGGAGTCCGAGATTGGTTGAGTCGGTTGCACTTGGTTGCGTGCCGGTTATCATAGCTGATGGTATCCGGTTGCCGTTCCCCGATGCCGTGGACTGGCCGGGAATATCGTTGACTGTGGCGGAGAGAGACGTCGGAAAATTGGGGAGAATTCTTGAACGTGTGGCATCGACCAACCTCTCCACCATTCAAAACAACCTCTGGAACCCCAAAAATCGGCAGGCCTTACTATTCCACAATCCTATCCAACCACATGACGCCACGTGGCAAGTAATTAGAACCCTGGCAAAGAAGTTGGATAGCTCGTTTAGGAGTTCGAGACTTCCAAACCAGTTGAAGAACGACACGTAGGATGCCAGATGGACTTCTTTCGTTAGAGGTAAAAGAGGAGTTTTTTTTTATTATTATTTTTTTTTTGGTTTCACGAGTACGGCTGGACAGTACTAGTTGGGCGGTGGGGACACGTGGCAGAGTTTTCTCCGTGGGTGTAGTTAAAATTGGATTAGATTTTTTTTTTTTAATTAAATTGGATTAAATTTCTAAAAAACTGTAGAGTTGATAATCTGACCAATTGAAAAATAGGGTTATAAACTTATATTCTTCCTATTTTTTGACTTTGAAAATTTTTAATATTTAAATTTCACGAGACTTTATTTATTGGATATAAGTATGTTTTTTAAAATAATTAATAAAACAAATCGACAACTCAATCCAATCTAGGTTAGATTGAGCTGTAAACTCTATTCAAGTTGTTAAAAACACCAATTCAATCAACACAGTGTCGGGTTGATCCAAAATATTTTTTCAACTTAATTCATATAATTTAAGTCAATATGTTATCGCTCGTGTAAAATAAAATGATGTTTAATACCTAAATAAATAATGTAGAAATAAGAGAGTAGACCAAACTATTATTATTTTGTTAATAAATAGGAAATTAATTATCCAACTAAATTTAGTTGAATAAACTAAACCAACTGGAAATGACTAATTATTTTTTAAAAAGGAAAAAAATTAAATTATGGAGGAATCATATTATTGTATTGATTGAATGAAGCCAAGTTTGAATTATTGTGAAGGAAAAAGGAAGGGAGCACAAAATGTCAAAAATTTAAATAATGATAAATAAATAAATAACAGACAGGGGTAGGAAGAGCCAAAGAGGACAGTCTGTGAGAGGCACTTAAAATAGGCCAAGTGTACCCTACTGCTGACGTGGATGCCCCCTTGGACAAACGGCTACCCGATAATAGAGATCAAATCTGCAATGTGTCACAATTATGCTTGTCTAAGGTGTGTTGCGCATGACCACATACTAAAACTCTTGTCTTGTATTTTCTAAATGTGGGTCTCGACATAATCATGTCAGCCTGATAGACCTAAAATGTCTCAAAATGTACTATATGAGAATGTGATCAGTCATCAACTCCTCCCACCTAAATTTTGTATGACGGTTCACTAACAACACGTCTAGGCACCTAAATCGCCTCAAAATATATTATAAGCGGACATGGCTAGTTGACAATTCTTCCTTACATGTGTTATATGATGTTCAACCTATGATGTTTCTTTCTTTGCTTACAACCATATAACGACTTTCAAATGTTTTTTCAAATCTTGCTTTCAAATTCTATTTCTAAAATCTCTGTCCCCGTTTTATAAAACTTTATTCTCAAATTGGGGTCAGAAGCTTAGTATATGTCATTAGGTCGAAGGCGACATGATTTCAAGTTAGCTGAATCACTCAGTGGAGAGAGTGAGTGTCGTACAATCACGTACAAACGACCTATAAAAATGCGATTGTGACATAACCTTGCAGATAGCGACTGATATATATATGTATGTATGTATGTATGTATGTATGTATGTATGTATGTATGTATGATCTTCCCTTATTTAAATCTCTATATATGTACTCATGAATCAAGGTATTCACATATTTAAATCTCTAAAAAAGGGTTGGCTTATTATATTAAAAGAAACGATAATAGCAAAAGAAAAGTAAGAACGTTCATGTTTTATTGAATTTTTGGAACACTAACAAATTTAGGTCAATCTGAAAGTTGACATTTTTGTCTGAAAACTCGAAAATATGGTTATAATCCAAATCCTACCAAGATTAATAATTACAAACATCAATAATATTAATTTTGATAAAAAAGAACAATTTAACAACCCATCCAACGTAAGAATAGAAGCTTAGATCGAGCTGAATTGTGAACCATATTCAAGTTGCTCGAGTCACCAATTTAATCAATAAAAAAATTTGAATGGATAGAAACAATTTTTGAGTTGTGTACACAAAAAAATAAAAAAAATTAAATGCAAAGAATTTGGTGTAAACCATGTAACATGTTCTTAAAGTTTACACCCCAATGATTTGTTACATATGATGCGATCATTTCTTGAAATTGATGGCATGTTTATCAAAAGTTAAATTCCCAATCTTCATCCTCTTCGATTCCAATGGATAAAACTCCATTTCTGTCTTCAAAGAATCCATATCTTCTCTGAACTTCTGGTATATATCTCCTCTGTAAAACTCCGCCGTCCTCCGAACCAAAACCAGTGATACCATGGCCACAACGAACGTCAATCCGGCCAGAATCGTGAAGGATTGTTCAAAGCATTTGCTCCCCTCGCAGTGAAACTCGCTTGCATTATTCCCCGTCAACGCCATCTCGTCGTACAGCTTTCCGATCACCATCACGTTCAGAATGTAAGACCCAATCGGACATGACAATTGCCCGAAATTGAACAACGTCGAGTAATGTTTCAGCCCGAAAAATTCTGAGATCATCGCGAAATGCAACGGAACTTGAGAACCCAATGAAAACCCAATTATGATCGACGCAATGCAGAGGGAATTGTTGAAGGGGAAGGCCACGATGAGGTAGCCAACGCAGGAAACCAAGTGGATGAGTGTCAGCATCATCGGCCGGGGGAATTTGAACTTCTCGAGCAAGATTTCTGAGACGAACCCAGAAAAGATTCTGCCGGTGAAGTTGAAAATACTGACCAGAGAGATGAAGGAGTTGATTGTTTCCGGTGGGTAATTCAGGGATTCTCCGATTTGGCCGAGATTGTCGATGGCGGTTAAATTTGCGCCGACGCCGATCAACATGGTGGTGAGCAAAATCAACATGTCGACGCTGAAAATCGCTTGAGGAATTGTGAAGTCTTCTCCTCTTTTGGGTTTGTTGAAGATGTTGGCGAAACAGGAATTGCTCTGTTTTGGTAGTTCTAAAACAGAGGAGGAAGAACAAGAAGCAGAGCATGATGGAGCCGATTGGGGGTTGTCGATTCTGATTCTTGTGAAACGATTCCCGACAGTTCTTTTATTGAGATTCCACATGATAATCTCTTCTCTAATGGCGATCAACAATGGAACAAGAAGCAACGCAAGGATTGCGGCGACGATGGTAATGTGAGCGGTTTGGTTGAATTGAACTTTTTTCTGAACAAAAATCAGGGCGGTGAGAAACAGAGCCAAAATGATGGTGACGCAAAGAAACTGAACAAAAACTCTGAATTCATTTGGGTGTTTGACGGCTCTCATTTCCCTGATTGTTTTAACAAAAATGATGGAAATCAAAGAGGGGAACCAGGCGAGTAGAAGAATCAGAGATTTGGTATCATGATCATAAAAGGCGCCGTAAATCTGTGTCATGATAGCGCCACTTAAGCCGACGAACCCCTTTAGAAGCCCCAACATGACGCCTCGCCGTTCTGGGAAATTCTTGACGCACGACACCAGGACGACTGTTAATGATCGAACAGGATTAACCCATGTTAATTTGGTTAAGGGGTTTCGATTTTAAGCTCTGAAAAATGGTTAGATTTGTTTAGATTATTACCTGTGTTGGCGAAATTCTGGGAGTTTGCTCCGACCATAATGTAAAAGCAGAAAAACTCCACCGTCGGACGGATAATTTTTCCGGTGACGGCTTGCCATATTTTGAAATATCCGACGAAGTTAAGGGCGGCGCCGATGAGGATAACGAACCAAGTGGGTGCTACTTCGGCTAGCAAGCCGGCAATGACGCCGACGTTGGATCCCAAATCTTTGTAAAACCCGATTTTGTTGAGTGTGGTTTGGTCGCATTTGAGCGTGGATTTGATGTCTTTGGAGTAAGAAGCGAATAAATAGACTCCGCCGGCGCCGGACATTATGAGGAAGGAAGCGAAGAGAGAAAACCACCGCCCCGTTACCACTTGTTGAATGAAACAGGACAGCTCTGCCCTGCAGATTCCGCCATTGATGGAGCTTGGCGGTGGTGATACAATCATTTTTCAAGAAGATTGGTGGAGAATGAATTAGAGATGTGTTAAATCAATTGTGTTTTGTTTAATGTTCATGTTTGATTCATATATATATATATATATATATACATGACAGAATAACTAAGTTATGAAGTGATAATCACTAATATGGTTTGTAGAGGTTAATTTTAGAAGAAAAAGATGAACACAAATGGGGTAAGCCCAACTAAGAACCAAACTAACAAAACAAAGGAGTTGGTATTGTGAGGGTACCTACCAATATCATATAATTTATTGTAAATATTAAATCCCAATCACCAATTTAGTAAAAAAAATTTAAGGATATTAATAAAACTATTGAAAGCATCCCGGGAGCAAAATCAAGTCTATGCGTGTAATATTGAAAAGGACTCAAAATGTACGGTAGGAGACATGGTGTCAACTCTCCACCACTTTTGAGCATTGTAATCTAAGCGAGCTACCCTGTGATACATGTGTGTGTCATAGTGACGGCGAGCGTGCTGAAACGAGTGTCTCGAGCGACTTCCTTTGAAATGGGTTTTTCAAGAACAGTACCGGGCAACACGGGTGTGCCAATATTGCGCCTTAGCCTGCGTGTCGGTATGCACCCACTATCCAATACGGTATCCGTACATGATATGACATGGGCATAGGAGGACCAATGTATCGATAGAATTCAGATGGATGGATGTTCGGGATGTCTCGATGAAATGAGCGATACGTGGGTCCGTTCTCGATGACATGACCCATTGAGTTGTGATGACTGACGACACCTCAAGACTTGGAATGACGTCAAGACATGAGTCATGTCAATCGGGAACTAAGATGACAAGATGAGATACGATATTGCATTGAGAGATCTTAACCCAGAAGCAAAGGCGAGTCAAATGACTTGGTTTAGTGGAGAGGCAAATTAGTTTTGCAACATAAGTATGTTAATTTCATCTCTGTTCTTCTATCACTTCTATTATGGGGTTCTTGGGGGAGCAATCTTGTAGATTTTCTTCACTGTATTTCTTCCAATTCCTCAAATCCAAATCCAACCCTCTTTTACACTCAATCTTCATCCTCCTACTCCTCTGTTCTAAATTTCACCATTCGAAACCTCAGATTCTCAGGGCCCAATGTCCCTAAGCCAATCGCCATAATCAAACCATCGCAACCTTCCCAAGTTCAAGCAGCCGTCATATGCTGCAACAATCACGACCTCCGC